AAGCACACGCTGCTTATTAAACAGTTTAAATATGGAAACACACACTCATGTTTAAGTTTGTACTCTTCATTTTACTCTTATGCAATGACATTGAGATATTTTTAAGTGTGCAAAACCTTTTTTTGGGATCGCTGTGCATGCACCAGTTTGGTCCGGTGGTTTTGTGTGTGTGCATGTGTGTTTTCGGGAACATTTTTGTGTAGGCATTGAGCGTCATTCCTGGCACGGCGTGTTTCAGGAGTCATGGCGTAGCCAATCGAACGGATTCCGGATGCTCCCACGACAACCGGAGGGCAGGGGCTCGACTGTAGGGATCTGTTGTGTTTGACGTGGCTCTTGTGTTTGTCCAGTCAGGCAGCAAGAACGACTGCATGCCTCCATGTCGCCCGACCCGGGCCTCAGCACCTGGAAACCACCGACCGAAGTCAGCAGCTAGAAAAATCTCTCTCTAGTCTCCTAAAGCATGCTCGCTTTGTCCCAAAGGGCAGGAATGTTCACGTTTAGACAGAGAAGTGACAGCGCAGACAGTTTTATATCGTTTTTCTTTTCCCAGAAACACTTTAAGTGAGTTTGTGAATGCAGACATGAATGTTTGGCTAATGCATCGCAAGAATGTGAGGGGGCTTCATTATACTAGATGGTTTATTCTGGTAACTGGGTTAGAGAAACTAGTGGAATTTTTAATTGATTTCTCTTTTATAGCTCAGGTGTGGAAGCTTGTTTCCGCATGGAATCAAAAAGTAAAAAAGATAATCACAATTCTGACATTTTTTTTCTCGTAATTCAGAGTTTATGTCTGTCAATTCTATGTTTATATCACAATTCTGAGTTTATATCTGGCAATTTTGAGTTTTAATGTTGCTTATCAGTTTACGTCTTGCGATTCTGACATTTTTCTCAGAAATGCAAGTTTGTATCTGTCAATCTTAAACTTCTGAGTTTATATCTCACACTTTTCTTCTGGCTTTTTTTCCCTCAGAATTGCGAGTTCATATCTGGCAATTCTGAGTTTAAATCTTGCAATTATGACTTCAGAATAAATAAAAAAAATCAGAATTGTGTGAATTGCGAGGAGAAAAGTCAGAATTGTGAGATTAAAAAGTCACAATGAGCTTTTTTCATACTCGGGAGACTAATGCTGCCTTCACGTGTTATTGGCTGTAATTACGAGTTTGGAAATCTTATTTAAGCCAAAAGATATTTAGTCAATATCCAACAGGTTTTGAATAAGAGATTAGCATCCCATTCATTGCTAACCATATAAACATTCACTGCTGTATCTAGATATTTTAGAAATTTTTGATCAACTAATTTTCGCTGTTTAATACATACAATATTTATATACGTACACAACCTGTAATTTCATCTCCTCCGCCATGTTCAAAGCCTGTCCAACTCAGAAACTCGGGTATAAAATTGTCAGCGTTTCCCAGTTGTAAGTATGACTTGAGAGGCCGTTCATGTCCAATTTCCACCTAGGAAACTCATGAAATGTTGAAGTAGAAAGACTGAAATAGTGTTTTCTTGTAAAATGTAGACCTGTTAAGTAGTTATGGAAAATCATCTTTTACAGTGTACTTACGTGAAGTGTACTTGCATACACATTTCATAGTGCAACGAAGCACGAATGGAGTTTGTGTAACGAGAAGTGTTTGCATTCACATGCTAAAGCAGAGACGTCTTTATTTCACAGTGGAGTTGAGTCTGCCGTTGGACTGGATTCTAACGTGTGGTTTGGGTTTAAACCAAATAATTCAAAGATGAGCTGTTTTTCCGCCTGTTACTCATCAGAACACTCATGGCCTCCTCCCTGTTTCCTTCCTTTGCTTTTCTTTTTCCTGCCGTTTACACACTGAAAACCAATAACATTACAACAGCAGACTGCTCCTATTTTAATCAGCTGAGCTAAACGCTCATCATTGCTCTGTAATCTCTTCAACATTTTCTCCTGGACAGCAGTGAGACTAAATGGAGAACAAATGGAGACTTTTGTTTAAAGCCAATTGGACTTTTCTGAGAGAAACAGGATTTTCCATGTAAAAAATGGGACTTGATTTTGGGCCATACACTCTTAAAAAATAAAGGTGCTTCACGATGCCCACAACTGTTTTCAGCATTGATAATAATCAGAAATGTTTCTTGAGCAATAAATCAGCATATTAGAATGATTTCTGAAGATCATGTGACACTGAAGACTGGAGTAATGATGCTGAAAATTCAACTTTGATCACAGAAATAAATTACAGTTTAACATATATTCACATAGAAAACAGCTGTTTTAAATTACAATAATTTTTCACAATTTTTGATCAAGTAAATGCAGCTTTGGTGAGCAGAAGAGACTTCTTTCAAATACAATAAAAATCTTACCAACCTCAAACTTCTGAACAATAGTTTAGTCTAAAATATAACTGTTATGTTTTGAGGAAAGATTGATTTTGTGTTTTTCTTTGTGACTTTTTTTTTAATATATAATGTCACTGATGAATTATTCACAATAAGACCAGGAACATGTATTAAGAAAGTCAATAGAGTAACCTTTATCTCCCGTCGAGTTTACATCACCTTTAAAGAGCATGTGAGGCTGATTCTGCTGAGTGTGTGTGTGTGTGTGTGTGTGTGTGTGTGTGTGTGTGTGTGTGTGTGTGTGTGTGGTCAGCAGGTGAAGGACTGAGGAATTCAGACACAACATGTGTGAAAACAGACTGTGTGTGTGTGTGTGTCTGTAAGATGCTGCATTCACTACTGTAAATGTATTTATAGAGCGAGAGAAAGACGGCTGTGTGTGTCCGCTGCTGTATGTGCTGACTAGCTGAAGTGTGTTAGTGAGAGCGGCTGACCGTTGAGACAAGCTGTATTCTGAGCCGAGGAAGCCCCTCTCCGCCTGTATCACTCGCTCCAGAGAGACAGGGGTGTGTTTCAAACTTCAGCCTCTACAGTGAAACTCAAGCTTCCCTCCATAGTGGCGTCTTCTATTAATAACCATCATGCATGTGTATGTGTGTGTGTGTGTGTTAGAGACGGAGGCTACTATGTGTGTTCATGCCGAAGGGTTTGTTATGTTCGGTGTCTGGTGTGAGTGTGTGTGTGTGTGTGTGTGTGTGTGGTTTATTACCAGTGTTGAGGAACTAAATGTAGCACTTTAACTACATTTTTCAGTAGGCTGATCATTTGTGCAGCTTCACAGTTGAGAGTTGATGCAATAAACACACTTTCTTTAAATGCTGCTGTTTTTACTGTATTTTGGACTTGGTTTTATTTATTTATTCATTCATTCATTTTTTTTTAATTTAATATAAATGTATCAAGTCAAGTTTCATTCTCTCAACCTAATTTATATATTGAAATTTTCTATATATATTGAAAAAGATATTGCTGATGCCATAATCAATCAAATTGTTTAAATGTCCTCTCTCATGTAAAGTTTGTTTGTTTATTTATTTAGTAATTCATTCATTCATTACTTAATTTTTCATTGAATATAAATGTATTTAAGTTTTATACTTTCAACCTAATTGAGCTTTATAATTAATTAAATTCTAATCTAGATGATTGGATAATTATATAATGAAAAATATGTTGCTGATGCAATAATCATGCAATAAACATGCTCTCTTTCAAATTTATTCTTGTGAATAATTTATTTGGCAATGTACCAATGAACCAATTAAAAAAAGCATTTTAAATGCTGCTCTTTGTTACTACATTTTGGACTTGTTTTAATGAATGAATGGATCCATTCATTCATTCATTCATTTTTTATTTGATATCAGTTTAGCTACTCAAGTTTCATACTTTCAGCGTAATTGAGATTTATTCATTAAATTATAATCTAGATGATTTGATATTAATTTAATTTAATTTAAAAATATTCAGCATTGAACTTTTTGCATTCAAGCATTTTATTAACCTCAAAGATGTGTTTGTGAATGTTGATTTATGATGGTTTCCTGTACTCATTTCTGGCAGCATGCATACATTATGTACAGTATATATATATATATTATTGCATTATTATTGCAATGGTATTTCAGTGCATGTAAAACCAGTAAAAAAAAAAGCGTAAGATTCTGCCACTGGTTTGTCTAAACTGTGCAAAGGGACTGGACTGAACACACTGAGCAATACTTTCCTAATGGAAATGTTTTATTTTTGGTTTCACAGAACTTCTTCCTCTTTCATCTGAAGCTGCTTTATTGATAGTTTGCTTTCTCTTTTTATAGTCGTTCAGCTTAAATCAGCAAATTTTCAGAGTTTAGTGGGTTGTGCCCACAAATTGCGTCGTCTACGGCTGTGTTCAAAATAGCATACAGTACTACTCATACTATTTTTGCAGTATGCATGCTTCAAACAGTATGCATAGAATATCTGTGAAGTAATGCATTTGACATTTTTATTTTTGCATTTTATTTTATTCATATATTTGTATTAAAAATATTTAAAAATACAAAAAACGATATTATTTATATTTTTTATAAATTGTATTTTATATTGTTTGCATTTTTTATTTGAAATTTAAAAATACAGAAAATTCTATTTTTATTATTTGTATTTTTTATAAATTGTATTTTATATTGTTTGCATTTTTTATTTGAAATTTAAAAATACAGAAAATTCTATTTTTATTATTTGTATTTTTTATAAATTGTATTTTATATTGTTTGCATTTTTTATTTGAAATTTAAAAATACAGAAAATTCTATTTTTATTATCTGTATTTTTTATAAATTGTATTTTATATTGTTCGTATTTTTTAATATTTGAAATGTTTTTTGTTATATGATGCATGGAACTGTTTCACATACTATTCTGACCAAATATCTGCCAGTATTCAGTGTTTTCTGTGTAGTATGTAGTAAGCAGTATGCTAGTGTTCCAATCTAATAACCAGTGCGTTTGTTGATCAGGAGACCTGTTCTGAGCCGTATTTCACCATGACAGGAACACTTTAAACTAGCAGTAAGAATAATGACTGTCTCTGTCTCTTTGTGTCTCTATAGTGAAGTATATAAAGGAGATGTCGGTGTTTTTTAAGGCCGGATCGACGATGGGACCCCCAGTGCTTGATTCCCCTCCAGCCACCCCGCAGAAACAGACGGACCCCGCGCTTAAAGAGACCCGGACCATCCCGCTCCGAATGTGCCACGTGACACGCAAACAGTGTCCGCCTGACACAGAGGACAGGTACAAACATACCTGTAGTGCTTTTATGAAATGATCCATATCTGATTAGGCTGATATTGTAAGATCAGGATTTACTCCAGCTTTTCTGATTCAAATATTAAACACCTTCCATGCCGGGTTACTAAACCAATAAATGGTAATCTATCATTGCATTTGTTCATTAAAAGGTTTCATTTGTTTTTACAGCTTTAGTGTGATACACTGAAATAAGATAGACACATTTATATTGATTTATAATAAAAAAGAAATTGATATTATATTCTACTGTTCAAAAGTTTGGGGTCGGTAGGGTTTTTAATGTTTTTGAAAGTCTCTTCTGCTCACCAAGACTGCATTTATTTGATCAAAAATACAGTAAATACAGTAAAATTTAATTTAAAGTAACCGTTTAAAATTTTTTTTTAAATTACATGTCTCAGACTCAATATTCTGATTGGATGAAACGCCTGTCAGTACATTCTACATTAATGCATCATAAAGCAGCCTACAGTTTGACTAATGAACTTTAATAGTTGGCAGAAGGGTTGTTTATAATGATTGTTATGGTATCATGTCATTTTGTAAAGGCATTATGTCATGAAAGGTCATACTGAGCCTTGCCGTGTAAAGTCTGCTCTTCTGTCTCTGGAGGTATTTTGAGGTGGTGTCATCAGACAGGAAGAAGGCTGTGTTTCTGCGGGCTAAAGATCACGCCATGGCTCAGGCCTGGTACAACGCCATCCAGACCGGAAGTGCAGCGTTACTGAGCAGTGCTAAAGCCGAGCTGAAAGCCCTGCAGCCCAGTCTGGACGTCACACACATCGGCTGGATCATCGAGCAGGTGAGAAACACACGCACACACACACACACACACCACAACATGAGATGAGACGAGATGCAGCAGAGCTTGATTGTGTGTGTGTCGGCAGGGCTCAGAGCGGCCGATCCTGGCGGTGCTGACAGACAGAGATCTGCTGCTGTACGCATATCTGCCTGACAGCAAAGAGACGCTCAACAGCCCAGACAAGAGCTATCCTTTAATTACCACCAGGTACAAACACACACACACACACACACTCTCTCTCTCTCTC